AAGAAAGCACATCTGTTAGGTGAACAGATGGTCCCTGAGCCTGCCCCATTGGAAAGAAAGCACCCCTGCTGCCCAAGGTCTGTACCCCATAGTTTTGTGGAGCACCCCCAGAGAATCCCCTGGAGACAAAGAGCTTGTTATGCCAGGGAAAACCCAAACCCACTGCAACACAAAGCTGTAAGTGGAAACACATCAAGAAGCAGTTAAAGCAAACCTCCCAGCACACCCCCGACAGGAGGAAGAGGCCTGCTTTTGGCAAGCAAGTGCCCAAGCTGTGCCAAACAATACATACCCGTCGGTCGATCTTATCACCCTGCAAGTTACACACATGTTACTGAGAGCCTTCAAGTGGAACACGCTTCAGAAACACCCCCCAACATCTGAGTCCCTTCTATTATTTTGGGCCACAGACACACAACCAGTTTTACTGACTCAAATGGACCTCACATAAAAATGCCAGGAAAAGGATAAAAGGATATTTTCAGCTCGAGCAGGTGAATAAAGTCACATGACTGAATTCAGCATTCTACCATTCTTCTCAATTGCAGGGAAGCCTAATTGCCAGAGTTAACTAGCTCTTTACTTTTACAACCATCCAGGGAAAAGCACACTCAACAGGCCAACGTCACAAGGAGGCCTGACCTAGGGGGTGAGGGTCACTTAGCATTTCCCAAGTCTGACATTAACACGTTGAACAAGTTCAAAAAAGCTTTTAGCTTTGAATAGCAAACCCAACAATTGGTATAGGAGAGCCTGGTACAGTCATGATGTTTCCAGTTAGCAGGCACAGGTTAAACACTACCCAGGCACCACTTCAGCATCAAAACATGACTGGGGATCCTGCCAGTTGGCCTTGTCTTTTAAACCAAAAACTTAAGGCCTAGATGCTCCAGGGCCTGCTGCCTCTCAGAGTAGACAGCACCAAGCACCAATCTGATGGAAAAGCAACATTTGCTGTTGTTCCCCTTCTCCTGAAACAGAGTGCTTAAGCAAAGATGAAAAATAGCGTGCAAAAGAAAATCCTCATCTCCCTGCACTGCCCCTGCCCAGGAGCAGCATTCCCCCCAGAGCCGCTCCCCATTCCGGGCAGCGGCGCCGTACCTGGGACAGGATGTTGGTGCACTGCTGCAGCAGGGACACAGGTGGGTTGCCGATGCTGGTGGCCAGCTGCACCCTCAGGAGCTGCTCCTTGAGTGTGGCATTCTCCTGCAGAGCATGGGCCAGGGCCACAGCCGCACACCAGTTGGACAGCGAGTCCGTGGAGAAGAGGCCCCCGCAGAGCAGCTGACCGGCTGACACCGAGTTACCTGTAGCTGCCACAATGGCCCAGAGGTACAAGGGAGATTAAAAAAAGCCACAAAGCCAGCAAAAGGTTCAAGACAACAACGTACTGTTAAAACTCAGAGAAGGCAGACTAATGAGATTTTAGAGAAGCCATAAGCCAAATCACCTTGCTTGGACCAGATACGCAACAGCAGGTAAATAATTTGGCACAGGCTGATGCACTACACATGGGTGCCAGCTCAGACTTGCCTGCAGAGCTGCTGGCTTTGCCTACCGTCAATAGTGGATGGCAGGAGCGTGGAGACGATCTCTCCCTGTCCTTTCTGGTTTTTGTACAAGAAGCACTGGAAGCAGTAGAGCACAGCACAGCGCAGCACGAAGGGCTGCCGCTCGTTCACCATGGACATCAGCAGCACCACGATGGCAGGCCTGAGGGCAAAGGCAGGACAAGCTGGCAATGAAGGCAACTGCAGGTACAATTTGGGGTGTATTCTGCTGGTAAGGAAAGAGACTTCACCCAACTACTGCATCTATTACCCTTTCAAACATGGGTATTAAAATCAAAGGTGTTACTCAAGAGTTTTTAAAACCAGCAGACTGATTATTTGTGACTGCGATGAGCTGGTGTTCCTCCACAATATGTCTATTTCCCATCTAGTCCCCTGCTGCTCCCTGCTAGTTTCAATAATACTGTACAAGATGCCTCCTAAGGCCACTAGCAACTTGCAATACAGACAGCTTTTTCTAGCCTCACCCTTATAGTCAAATATTAACATCTCTGTAAGCTAACACTGTCCCCTGGTCTCCATAAATCAATTCTGTGCCTATTTTCCTAGCCTCTGAATCCTCTTGTAGACTGTCCTCTGGCTGACAGTGGCAGCTCATCCCAAGCTAGGAATTTCTCAGCTATTGTTCATTCCCTTTTCAGGTGCCACATAACAGTATCAGATCTAGGCCTCATCTCTGCGCAAACACACCTGACACCTTCATGCTGTATCCAATACAACCCACATGAACATGATGCTGTTGTTCCAGATCATAATTCCCAACTCTGAATTTTAAAAGTCCTTTGGATTAGACTGCCACTGCCCATATCAATACATCATTACCTAACACAGTTAAACACTTTTCTTCCTCTACCTTGGTGGATTAGAAGGTGCATTTACAGAGGCAAAGTAGTCTTGATTGGTCTGGTATCCTCGGATGACCTCTGATACAGTGTTAATGGTCTAGGGAAAGGGCAGAGCCAAAAGTTAAATAGGTACTTAAACATGAGCCACAATCTACCCCCTAGATCACTCAGAATTAGTGGATGACCCTGACAGCTCAGGATCTAAAAGCACATAGTGAGTCTAAGCACAGATTTATTCAGTTAGAGCATTGCACATGAAATCAAAGCAGCTGTAAAACCTGCTGAGCAAAGGTTAAGGGACAGAAAGCTCACACAGCCCCTTCCAGCTTCATTTTCTCTGCCAGATCAGTTTTGCCCTGACAGCCAATTAAACTGGACATTTTAAATAAATGAAAAGGTGAAATCTTTTAAGAAAAAAAGAACTGGAATAGAGGAAACAGTCCACACTCAATCCAAGCACATAGTTTTATCAAGGGAAAAACACCTCATGCTATGCTGCTGACAGGGTTTTTTAGAAGCTAGAAAGCCCTCATCACTAGAAGCTGCCATGGAAGAATACTTGAAGACTCTCACAAAATAAAGACAATAAAAAACCCACTCCCAAACCAGGAAATATAAAGAACCAATTCATCTGCTCTGGGATATGCTGAAATACAACAGAAAAAATACAAATCCTTTCTGGTTGCAGGATACAATGTAAATGCCTCTTCCAGTCACGCTGCCCACACAGGAAGCTGACAGCTCTGGCATCTGAAACACTTGCTTAGCAAATACTAATTTCAGTTGGTCTCTGCAGCAACTGGTTATCCCTGTGGACTCCTGCTTT